GGGCCTTAGGGAGGCCACTGGAGGGAAAGTCAAGGGCAGGGCCAGTCCTGGGGACTGAGGTGGGGGCGGGGAGACCGGCCACAGGATGCCCCAGAGGATAGCGGTTGTGGGGAAGGGGGGGGCCACCTCCGGTGGGTGTGGTCATGGACAAGGCGAGGTTAGTTGGTGGGAGGGCAGGTCTGGGCAAGCGGTGGGTGGAGGCTTGGGTCACGGAGACTTTGGACCCATTTTATTTTTAACTAAACTGGGTTCTTTTTAGCTTCTGGATATAAGATTTATAAATATTCTCTCATTCTGTAAGTTTTCTTTTTAAATTTCTTGATAATATTTTATGATGGATACTTGCTTTAGTTTTGAGGAACTCCAGTTTATCTATTTGGTTTACCTTTCTCGCCTGTGCTTTTGGTGTCCTGGCTAAGAATCCATTTAGAAATTTTAAAGTCGTAAAGATTTGTTCCTTTGTTTCTTTTAAGAGCTTTATGGTTTTAGTCCTTGTATTTATGTTGATGGATTTTGACTTAAGTTTTGCATATGGCTGTGTTAGGGATCCAGTTTCACTCTCCCCATCTCTCTTCTCCCTCCCAAATATTTTTATATTTTATTTTTTTATTAAAAACCTTTTGTCTTTATTATTTGCCAACCGTTTTAAAAAATATATTTTACTTTATTTTCCTTTTTATCTTTTGTTTTCTTTTAGTTAATTTTAAGTTTTTAAATTTATTTTTTGTACGATTTCTCTTTTTATTGTTACTTCCCCCTCTAATATTTTGATATTTTTAAGTTATCCCATTTATGACTCAGACAAGTGTCTAGAATGCACCTAAATTTATGCGTGGTGGGATTTACTTGTCACTGGAAAATCCTAATCGTTCTTGTCACTGGAAAGTCCTAATCGTTCAACATTTAACACCTACTTAACTCCTGGTACTATATGACAAGATGTATTTTACAAATATCAGGGCATGGTTCTGTCTTTAAAAATAAATGTAGTGCAGATATAAGCACAAAATAAGTACATTTCAAAATAATTGGTCTAACTACCAACTAATAAAAATATTTAAAATAAAATAATGTACAATGATGTCCAGGAAGTAAGTCACACTTGCTTTAACTAAGTACATTTTTGTAAATTTGTAAAGAAGTCTTTGTAAATTTGAGTATGAATGGAAGTTTGTTGGTCTCATACCTTACAACTTTGCTAAATTTGTTTATTAACTCTAGTAGGTTTGTTGTGGATTTTTTTGGGGGGTATTATATGTAAAGAATCATACTGTCTTTGAATGCAGGTAATCTTACTGGATGCCTTTTATTTCATTTTATGGCCCAATTGTGTGTCTCGAGCTTCTAGTACAGTCTTGTTGAATAGCAGCGGTAGAAAGTGGACAGCCAAAAAAAGAAAGTGGACATTCTTGACAAGTTCCTGACTTAGGAAGAAAGCATTTCATTTTTCACTATTATGTTTTTAGCTGTTGGTTTTTCATAAACGTGCTGTATAATACTTATAGTTTGCCGCATGACTTTATCATGAAAGGTTTTGGATTTTGTCAACTGCTTTTTCTGCATCAGCTGAGATGATCATGTGAGGTTCCTGACCTCCCCCTTTTATTCTATTGATGTGGTATTTGCATTGATTTTCTTATGTCAATCACCCTGTATTCCTGAAATGAATCCCACTTGGTCATTACTGTACTCCATTGAATAAGCTGTTGCTTCCAGCCACCATTATTTTGTTGTGATAGTTTGTATCTGTGTTCATATGAGATGTTGGTCTGATGTTTTCTTTTCTTGTGGTGTCTTTGGCTTTGGTATCAGGTTAATAGTGGCCTCATAGACGAGTTAGGAAATGTTCCCTCGTCTACGTTTACGTTTAGAGGAATTTGAGAAGTGCTAATATAAATTCTTCTGTTAATATTTGGTAGAAATCATTAAGGAAGCTATCTGCTCCTGATCTTTTCTTAGTTGGGAAATTTTTGATTAATGTTTCAATCTCTTTACTTGCTATAGGTCTTTTCTGAAAGGGCTTCCTTCCCTGACCTTCTTTCACAAATACCCTCCTCTCTCCTCACCTGTTTTCCTGCTCTCTCCTCCCCTGGTTTTATTTTCCTCTTTCTACAGCATGGTCTGCTGTCTCACTTTCCTTACTCAGTCTTTTCTGCCTCCAACTCCAAATCATTTTTATCCACCACTCAAATGCATTTCCTTTCCCCACAGCATTTTCTCCTTAGCTCCATAATGGTGTTCCGGAAAGGGCCTTCTCTGTTTTACCTCCCAAGGCTTCCCTGCCACCACTGGTATTCTATCTTCTCTAGGCATAAAAGTCTCCCAATTCTACTGTTTTCCCTCCCTCAAACACTGGCCTTGAGCCTAAACATCTTCCACCACTCCCACCTCTAATCTCAATGACTGTCTTCCTGCCCTTTTGTGGGCTTTCCATCCCTACCACCAAGGAGGGAGGAGACAAGATTGGCTAGAGTGATTGGAAGTAAAAGTAACAGAGTCCTCCAAATGTTATGTCAAAACTGAGTGGATTTATAACTGTTTTGTGAAGGACGGAAGTCAGAGTTAAATCAGGTATATACGTTATTTTATCAATTAATTGATATGAGTTAGAAAAATATGATTTCTGCTCTTTGAAAAATATTAAGATACATGTGAGTGATCATTTACAAATCATGTAACTCCAAGTTATTCATATTTACTTTTCCTACTATTCATTTAAAATGCCAAAGTAATTCTGGCTTGTTTTTACTGTATTTGTAAACATTGGTTACAAATACAGCTAAGAACTTTACAAATTGTTCATTATTATTTCTTAGTCTGTGAGTTCTTCATTTTCTATTTCTATTTTGAGTAGAGCTCTTAAAAAAAAAGAATACTGTTGTTCAGTGTGATTTCTTTATTTCCATGAGGACTTTTCCAATATAAGTTTAACACGCTTTCTCCTAAAATAATCTATGATTCATTCTTTATATTGTCAGATTTCCCAGATTCCCAGGAGGTAATATGTGACTGGATGAATTAAATATCATTTTGCATTTTAAATGATTTTACTTAATTAGTGTAACTAAATGCACTGCCATGGGTATAACTGTGGTCCCCCCCCCCAAAAAAAAGTTGGAATTTTAATTAACCCCAGTGCCTCAGAATGTGATCTTATTTGGAGAATTGGTCTTTGCAGAGATAGTCAGGTTATAATGAGGACATCTAGAATGGGTGGTGTCATTCAAGATGGCTGGTGTCTTTATAGAAAGGGGACATTTAGACAGAGCTAGACATGCACAGAGCAAAAACAACTTGAATAGATGTAGGGAAATGATGACTGTCTACAAATCAGACGGTCTTCCCTCACAACCTTCAAAGAAACTACCCTGATATCTTGATTTTGAACTTTTAGTCCCCCATAACCATGAGACGGTGAATTCCTCTTGTTTCAAGTTATATGGTTTATGATGCTTAGATGTAGTGATGATCACACAAAAATGCACTGAGAGATGAAACAGGGTAGCCATGGCCTTGGAGTATAAGGGTGAAAGCAAGCACTTGATGCTCTCCGACTCCCCTTCTCCTTCCTATGCACATCCTTTTGAATTCTCTTGGACTTAACGCCACCCAGGGAATTTGAGGTTGAGGGACCTGAGAGAACTCTAATTTGTATTGACATTTGGATTCCCAAGCCACCTTGATTTTCAGGTTATTTTTATGTAGAAGGCTTATGGACCAGTGGCATTAAAGTGAGGAGACTGGCAGACTGGGGACTGGGAATTTGACCCTATTTCCTCCACCAGTTTTCTGGAAACTACTGGGTCTGCCCTTAATACACACCCTTTTCAGGGTAGATGAAAAAAATGACAAAGATTGAGTAATGGGTAATATTTTCAGAATGCTTTAGCTTCATGAACGAAACCACATGACTAGTTTCTGTGTCATTATATTAGGATATTTCCTTCACCTGCCATCCCTGGGGAGTGAATGAGGCAGTGCACATAGATAGTCTGGCTGCCCGCCAGGTACCTCATTAAGCACTGAGCTCCTGCCTGCTGTAACCATTTGTAGTATAGTTGGCGAGCCCTGAACTAAGAGCTGGAAGGCCTGCGCTATCTGAGTCCACCACTGACTTGCTATGTGACATTTGAGGAATCACTTGACCTCTTTAAGCTCATCTAAACAATGAGTTTTCCCTAGGTGGCTGTTTCTCTTGCCTCAGCCATTTTGTACACCCTCATAACTTTGTTATCTTAATATTTTGCATATTTTCCTTTTAAGTGCCTTATTTTTTTTATGGATATATATTTATTTCAAAAGGAAACCATAGTGTAGCATAGTTACATGGAACACTGGTCATATTTGCTACTAAAAATAGTTATAAAAATAAGTATCCAACAAACAAAGTAATGTTATTAAATTAAAAATTAAAAGCAGCAGAAATAAACAATGAGAAAATATTTTCTCATTTTGCATTATGCTAAACACTTTGTATAGGACTTCATGTAATCATCTCAATCTTTTAAAATACCATGCCCATTTTGGCGGTGAGGAAACCGAGGCAGAGAAATGTATTGACTTGCCCAGCTTCACCAAGTAGTGTGTGGCAGAGACAGGAGCCAGATTCGGGTGTACCTGAGGCCACGGCCCAGGAGCACTGCAGCCTGGGCAGGCCTCCTACAGAGGCCCTGGTCGTGTTTTGCTGGCAGTTACTACTAG